CATTCTGATGAGGAGTAAAGATTTTATATGGAGTTCGTTTATCATCACCTTTAGTTTGAATCTATTAGGGTTGGTTTGGAATTGATGTGCTTTGAAAAAAAAACTGTTTCTACTATGTTGTGAGAATAAGCAGTTGTGAAATAAACAACAGAGTGTTTGGTAAACTTTTTTGTAAAAGTGCTTTTAAAAAAAAAATAGTATTATACTGTTTGATAAACTTTTATTTAAAACAGATGTGAAAAAAATTTGGTTTTTCAAAGCTAGGTTTTGCAGCTTTGTGTTTTTGGCTTTAATTTACCCAAAACTGTGAAAAAAAAACTGAAGCTGAATGTTTACCAAACATAAAAAAGCTGGTGATATTGCTTCATCCCAATACCAAATATCAAACACTTGTATTTTAATTTTCAATCAAGGATGCCTGTGAGCACCATCTGTTTTCTTATCAATCGTCAGTAGACGAAATTGAAAATTGGTTTCCAAATTTGAAATAAAATTATTTTCAAATTCCTATCAACATCATTAATTTAAATTCATTATTTTCATCACCACTGATTTTAATTAGCATTTATGTTTATCTCCCAGTCAATTTATTGAGTATCTCAAGTTCAAGGTAAATACCAACCAATCTTTTGTTCAGTTCTTCTTTTGTATATACAGCCTTTGGTATGATATCTGCAAGCCTAATAATCATAATGACTGTAGTCTCGATTGTTGTCCCCATAATTTCTATCATCGTCAATAGACGGTAAGCTTTTGCCCCCATTCCAGCTTTTTTTTATAGCCACTTTTTTCAAAATTATCTCAATACCAAACTAGGACTTATTATAATCATGAGTAGAAGATTTATATATAACTTTGTATTACTGGTTTGAAACGTTATGATAGAGGTAGGTCTATTTCATAACAATGTTATGTGTGTGAAGCCCATAACAATCTCGCTTTGATAAGAAATCATCACTTTATTTTATATTTACACTCTAAGACCATCTTCAACCCTTGGTTTAAAATCTAAAATTTTTAACCCAAAAAATTTGGGTTTTAACCTTCCAATCCTTATGAATTTAATTTTAGCCCGAGATTATTAAAAAATAAATTTAGGATAATTTTTTTTCTTAAAGTAACTTTAAAAAAAAAATTATGTAGACTATCCTAATTTAATTTTATGATCATTTTAACCTAAAAATATTTAGATTTTGATAAATATTGAAAAATCACTAAACGGCACCATGAAACTCGTGGAACACTACGAAAGAATATGAAACACATAAAATAATTTTTTTAATTACTTTAACCATTGGATTTAAATTTGGACCATTAGATATATATTTTTTACCGTTGGATTTTATCAAATTAGATCTTATCTGTTGGATTTAATGAATTTATAAATATAAAATTAAAAAAAATACACATATATGGTAGACTAGCCCCATTGCCCCAGAAATGAGTTTTGGGTTTTAACTCATATTTGCCTCAAGGGTTGGAGCAAGTTGGGGTAAGTTTAGAACCTAAAATTTGAGTTTTACTCAAAGGATTGGAGTAGGTCGAAAGGAATTTCCATTTTTTTAGAATTAAAATTAGCTGTTAGGCCATTTCATATAGAATTTAGACGATTTAAATCGTTTATTTTTTTTTTAAATTGCATTTTATAAAAAAAAATAAAAAAGAAAAACAAGATATTTTATTGTTTAAGTTGCATTTTATAAAATAAAATTGCTCCAAAGGGATGCCCATTTTTCTTAGAAATTAGAATTAGTTTTGGGTTCACTTTATATCGAACTTAAACAATTATTCTTGTAAAAAATTAACTAAATAAAAAATATTTAAGACACCTAATTATGCTAAAACTTTTTACAAACACTGTGTACTGTCCTATCCTATGAAACAATACACACACACATATATATATATACATATATATACATATATATGTATATATATACGTGTGTGTGTGTTTTTCATTTCTTTCTTTCGACTTTTAGTGCAGCTAGTTGGTGCTCTTATGCCTCTGCTTTAGATATTCTATTCCCCATTCCTTAAACAGTGTTGAGAGAGAGAGATGGAGCTTAGCCAACATGGTTTCTTAGAGGAACTGCTGCTGGCTCCAAGAAGAGACAGTTGGAGCAGCTACTCCTCTGGATTGAATGAGTTATTTCCCATCAATGGATGGAGTTTCGATTCTTTTGAAGAGAACCCAGTTCTGGTTTCCTCAATTAATCCTCAATTTGTTGGATTCTCCACCACACAACCAACCTTTGAAGAATGCCCATTCACCACCACCACTACTGCCTCCTCCTCCTCCTACCCTTTTGTTGTTGGTGGCCTCTGTGCAGTCCCAGAGATTAATAACACTACTACCCCTCCTCCATTTCCTCCACAAGATCATCAGGATTACCCTTCAATGGTGGAAGATGAAGAGTTTGGTAATTTTCTTGGGAGTGAAAACCACAGCAGCTGCTTGGAGTTGGAAAAAGGAAAGAACAACAATAATATCAGTACTTGCAAAGTTGAGATGGACCAGCAAGCAGCAGATCATCACATTATTCCTTCAGCTTTTACCATGGGATTGTGTGGTGAAAAGAGAAGCAGTAAGTCTAAGAAGTCAGAAGGGCAGCCTTCAAAGAATCTTATGGCAGAGAGAAGAAGAAGGAAGCGCTTGAATGACCGCCTTTCCATGCTCAGATCAATTGTCCCAAAGATTAGCAAGGTGATCCATCTTTCTTTTGCATTTGTTAAAGTTTCAATCTTTTTTTTTTTTTTTTTAATGTTTTAAAATGGTGGCATTTCCTTTTTCTTCTTGTTTCTTTAATGTTAAACTCTGAGAATTGATTTTCGCTCTTCATTTTCTATTACTTCAAAAAAAAAAAAAATCAAGAGACAGAGACAAAGATATGAATGCAGGAGTAGAAAATGAGAGTGAAATTCACTACCCAAATTCTCCCAACTAATTTTGATAAATTGGGTGAATTACTATTTGGTAAAGATTAATTGAAGGGTTAATTAATGTGAAAAATGGCAGATGGACAGAACATCTATACTTGGAGACACAATAGATTATATGAAAGAGCTTTTGGAAAGGATCAATAAGTTGCAAGAAGCAGGGGTTGAAGAGGGTACCAATCAAATCAGCTTAATGGGCACCTCCAAGGACCTAAACCCCAGTGAGGTACTAGTCAGAAATTCCCCCAAGGTAAAATTCAGTACTTTTTCTTTAATCTCTCTCCCTGTCTCTCTCTCTAACTTTTGCATCATTGGTTTTATACAGTTTGATGTGGAGAGGAGAGACAAGGATACCAGGATAGGCATATGCTGTGCAACCAAGCCAGGATTGCTGCTGTCAACAGTGAACACTATAGAAGCATTAGGGCTTGAGATTCAACAGTGTGTTATAAGTTGTTTCAATGATTTTTCAATGCAAGCTTCATGTTTTGAGGTTTGTCCATAACTTTTTTTTTTTTTTTAATTTTTTTACAGTTAATTTTTTTGATATTAATGCTTAATTAAGTTTCTCTAATGATTTTTAGGGAGCTGGGCAGAGAGATTTATTAAGTCCTCAGGACATAAAGCAAGCATTGTTCAGAAATGCAGGATATGGAGGAAGATGTTTGTAGGAAAATAAGGGATGCAAATTGCAAAAGGAAAAATCGTTTGCTTAGAATTGAAGTGTGTAGCTAGGAGAGAGATGGATTTCGACATGACCCCATGAGATTTTCCAAATAACATTGTCTACTCTCTAATAATTGTGCATGTATTAGATGATCCACCTTGCAGCCTATTCAGTATTACCACTCGGATTTAGGTACATATATACCGACATCTGTGTATACTATACACCGACGTCTGTAGTGGTTGATCTTTTGATTGTTGTATTATTGGCCGCACATCTAACGCTCTATTCATCATATGTCATGCACCAAAGCATTCACTGTTATAAAAATCGTCACCTAGTGGCAACCGCCCCGATTAATGACTAGATGTTTGAAAATTAAGAAAGGGTGCCTAGACTTGCTGAGGCGCCTGCCTAGACTGCCTAAGCACCCGCCTAGCCTGCCGAGACCTACCTAGGTTGCGACTCACTTAGACAGAAAATAGATAACTTTCATTTTGCATTTTATTTTTTTTCAATAAATTGTAAGAGACTTGTTGAATACTTAAATGAACACACATTATATGTTTGTTCCCCATATTTTCATTATATTCCAATACTTCATAAGAAATAATTTAATCTATTTTTTAGTTTATAATGAAATTATATATATTTTAAGTATAAAGAGACACTTATTTACATGACATATAATGTATTTACTTAAATCTGCCTAGTTTGCCTAGGCGCTAGGCTCCAGTCCGCCGTCCGGCTAGCTACTAGCGTCTTTTAGAACCTTGTAGTAGTATTTTAAGCAATTTCAGTCCAAATGCCTTAAGAATTTGTGATTGTTTAATTGTTGTCTTCTTGACCAAAAGAATCTGTGAACAATGTCTAAAGTGCCAGCAACGATAAAACTACACAGAAACCATGACAGCAACCTGAAGAATTCCATTGACCAACACAAGGAAAACCATATCTTGCTCGTAGGATGTCATCAAATATTCTTTTCCCATCATGTACAAGACTTAATGCCAAAACATTTGATTTTTTTTCTTTCACTGTGACATAATGTTGTGACGAGATGAGGACGGCACACGTTTGATAAATGAGCGAACGAATCCGATCATTTGCATGGATTTTGGGTGCCGGGATCTGTTTGACATCTCTTCGATTGCTTAATCGGACGCAATCCCGTACTTCCAATCATAATCAAGGTTTGTTTCGTCGGTATGAGTGTTGTGTTAAAGGCGACGCTCTCTCGACAAGCTTTGTTTTGAATGCGATTCGAATTCACAGGTTGAAATTTCGCTGTCATACCGCAAGGCCACACAAAAATTAGCGGAACTTAAGCCCACGGTTGGTGCAAACACATAAAATGGGATTCTTAGGCTCAAGTTAGTCAAAATAATAGCCGACATGTCTTAGCCATCAGTGTTCCATTTTCTTACTTCTAAGATATGTGTTTAGCTAAAACTGAAATCAGATCAAGAAAAAAAAATAAGGATTTAGCTCTGTTCATATGGTACATTTCTAAGGAAAAGACGAGATAACGTGCTTCTAAGCATCATCTTCACCCTCCTCGTCATCACTTATAATGCCACCATCGTCGAAATCAGAAGAGTCAGCGGTAACATTGGCCTGCAGATGTTGGAGTTTATTGATAGCATCTCTTGCATCAGAAACCAGGGCAATTTTTGCAGTTCTCACTGCATCCACTTCACCAATTCCAGAAGTGGATTGCTGAGTGCGCATAGATGCTGCTTTTCTCTTCGCTTCCCTGGTATGTAATTGGTCTATATACTTCTCATGCCGGACCTTGTTTCTGACTTGCTTCAATACCGGGGGGCTAACGAGAGGTTTACCACATGAGCTACTAAATCTCGACAGCAGCTTCTTATGACCTGAAGAAGATCTTTGACAGCGATTCTGAAGAATTTTCTTCTTTTCCTGTAAATTTTTTGGGGTAGAAGGTATAACACTTGCATGACTCTCGCTAGGTGAACCTAGACTGGGCTCAAGTACCCTAAAAAGATCTCCCTCATAATCTTGGTACACTTGATAATGTTTTTGTAATAATTGTCGGACTGTTTTCTGGGCAACATGCCTCCTCTGTTTACTGCATTCTTGCCTTTTAGACTTTGGCTCACTGGGTTTAAGCAGTTTACTTGCAGAGAGTGAAAACTGTCCAAGGGGGGACGAATTTGTTAATGTGTTTGCCCTCGACCGGGTATGAGGTTGAGGTGGAGTTCTATGCTCAGAATGGACTCTATCAAAGCACTCCTGTGCAGATTTTCCAGGCACCTGAAATTAGTTTGTATTAAACACAAGTTACTGTGGATATAACCTAAATAAAGCAGCGGTGATATATTGGCTATGCATGTCAAAGGACAAAGATACATAGTTACTCACTCAAGAACCAATCTAACTAACTGAGCCCACTAAATGCTCAAGGAACTTAAAACAAAGCATTTATTCATGGCTGAAAACTTTGCTGGCAGCTAGCTGTACAAACAAGTAACTGGCAAAAGATTGAATAAGGAGAGAAATCTGCAGTTGGTTGTAAGTTAAAAAAAAAAGTTCTTTAAAAGCTTTTCAAACTTCGGAACATGAAACAACTGTTAGAGCTATCCACACAAAATTAAAGGTTAGAATGTGATTCCTATCTCATCTGTAGCATGTAAAAGAAAATTAAGATTTTATAAGTGACTCAAATGGAAACAGATGTGGTGTCATTCTGATGGCTAGCCTTAAGTTTATGAATTGTCTGCAACTACTAAACATGACCTTCTCAGCCCTGCTTTGCTGCAAGTAACTTGGTTTTTTGTTGCGAAAAATTAAACGGAAGTGAACTTAAGGAGTACCAATAAGGTGGAAAACCAAAGCTATGCAACATCAATAGATTGGTTATAAAAGAACTATCCTTTCTGCAACGAAAACTAAAACCGTCGCCGAATTTAATCAATAAGACATTGTTAGTTGAAAGATAAATGCCCACGATCATCACAAGAGAGCAATAATGGAATTTTATAATTGCTTTAACATTCAGTCTATTTTGAACATATGTAACAGTTACTAAAGTCATTCCATTTGGTTCTTAGAAATCTTATTCAACTTGTCTATTAGCTTTCCAAGAGTTTTCTGGTATTTAATAAATAATAAGTCTTTAGGATTTGCGTCTTTTGGTTCTATATATGACATGTATAAATTTTATTGAAAGGCTTTGTTACCTTCAACGCTTAAGGCCTTGATATCTCCATGCATCTTTCTCCTCTTTTACTTTTTTTCTACCTCACAAATTTCTCGGAAATTATAGTAACCTCAAAAACTTCACTTTGGTTTGTGTTTTTCCGACATCATTTGAAAAATAATCTTTCACCAAGAGACCTTGTAGCTACAATTGTTATCAGTTTTTCTGTTTGAGAACATTTTGGTCATCAAACTCTCAAGCAAGAGAAAAGAGTTACGAAGTGCCAAAACAATTAATCGAAAACAGTCCCCTTCTTGGGGAGGCCCTACCCAACAGAAGTCCTCTATATACCTAATGTACTAACTTTAAAAAAAGAAAGGCTTATGGTTCTTATTGAACACTGGCATTCTTTTATCAGGTTGAGTCTCACATCTTTATTACAGTCAAACATTAAAAACCCAAGTGCTTCAGTCTAAAAGGTATGTGCTTAGGTCAATTGAGGTAACTACATCCATAGCTGGTTATTCTCAAAAGCCATACCTCTAATATGGTGCTTTGGTAAGCCCAATATTAGCCTATCGCCATTACGGCCTTTCCTTACGATGAAAAGGACTATCAGTCTATCAACCAGGCCATATCACCTTCTTGCATAATAATAAGCCTTCATAAAATATCATAAACAAAACCTTCTCAGGCTGGTAATATTGTTAGAGTTCTATACTAAGGTGGACTACTATATCAGCTCCACTCTATATATCATAAATATCCAAAACTGCAATGAATTTGATAAAAATTGTTTAAGACCAGTTCCCCGCATTGTCACTCATTGGAAATAGCATCATGTACCTATATCTTAAAAATCCTCCTTTCAAGAGTTAGAGTGATCTTCATTCCACAATTGAACTATACGAATTTCGCACTCACTATAATATATTTCCCCCCGCTCTTTTGGCTTTCCGTTGAATTAGAATAACAAAAGACTTGCTGAGATAAAAACAAAAACAAGATGTGGACTCCTAGTCCCACTATATCAAAAAAACTTAAGGACTAATTATCAATGACTCAATATCAGTGACAAAGTTTACAATTTTTATTAATATAATCTAGATTGCAAACTTCAAGATCATACTTAAAGACACAAAAAGATTAGTACTATTATTCAATTTAGCTTTCATATTAAGAGGCTAAATTATACTTTTGATCCCAATAGTGTAAGATTGAGACTCCACTTTAATCTTACAATCCTAATTTCAACAAATTTAACTTTGCAATTTGGTAAGTTTTGGAATGTTGTCCAAAGTATACATTTCCATCACGTTGGTTAAGAAAACCATCAAAAGCGCAAAATAACTTATTCATCGTGGTGTGGTTCTATATCGCTGTCACATTAGTTTTCCCAGCTTAGCAGATATAGGGAAACATCTTTTTCATCAAACAACAGAGGAAATATAGGGCAAACTATAAGGTTGATTTTGTTAAACTTTGAACTACAGAAACTGCACAATTGGGCCTAACAAAATTCAATCTTCTTATTGCCAGTAATATGAAAGAAAACTAAGTAGCTTGACATGAAAACAAAATTTTCTGAATTAAAGGATCATAAGAACAGCAACATACCAGTTTGGAAACCTTCTTCCAGAAGTGGGGTGTTGGCTTTGCTATTAAATAAGCTCTCTGCAATGCCAATTCTTGTTCCTTTGTCCACCCTTGAACAACCCCAACACCTTCTTCGTCCCTCTTTCTCTTCCTCCTAACCCCCACTTCTTTATTTACACCATCGATCTCTTGCATTTTGCACTTTTTCGAAACTCCTTCGGATGAATCAATACAAGCTCCATCTTTTCCAACACTTGAGAACTCCTCTTTCTTCAATGACCTATTTTTTCCACTCTTAGATCTAGACCCAGTTGCCTTATCAGTGCATTGATTCACAACAGATTGCTCAATACAGAACCTGACAGATTTTCTTCGACATTTTGCTGACCCAGAACTCAAATTTCCGCAATTACTCGACCCATTTTCCAATTTGCCCAATTTCTTAAATATTTTTTTCGAGGGACCCTTACCTTCATCAACAAGGACGAGCTGCTTGTTCAAAATCCTTGAAGAACGTCTAAGACTCTGAAACCCCTCAACCCCATTGTTCAATCTCAGAGATCTTCTCGGCCCATCGTGAGATTCACTCGAATTCTTAGAGCTAAGTGGAAGACTCAATGAACGTACGACACGGTTACTTCTGGCTGTGCATTTGGGGGTTCTCGGGTTTTCAGACTCCGCAGCGCTCCTTTCAAGGCAGACAAGTCTCTGAGATTTCCGGACAGTGGCGATGGACAGCTCTGGTTCTTGAGTTTTCTGGTGGTGGAGAAATCTAGGAGACCTTCGGAGAGTTGTGCTCTGTTGTGCTGCCTTGGCTACGGAGGCTCTCACGGCCATTTTCGCAAACACTTGGTGGGCTTTCTTTTCACATGAGACTTTTTAGAGGGAAGAGAATTTGAAATTCAAAAGTTTACCCTGTTCGGCAGTCCCAACCTCATCGTCTAATTACGAATTTACTCGTCAGTCTTATCTCGAGTCCATGTCCGAGTTCATCCAGTCCAAGACCACGCTCTCCTTTTCTCTCTCCTCATCCGTGGGTTCGGTGGTGGTTTTTGCTTTCGAAATGAAAACGAACGGGCTTTTACAAATGGGCTTTAGAAACACTGCGGAATGGGAAAATTGTAAATTGGGCTTACCCTGTAAAAGTCAGACAATTATTGAAAAAGAGTGGGCTAGGAACGAGAAATCCAAACCCCATCTGACCAATTTCCATTTTACGAGTCATTCTCTCTCCTGCGCTCGTGATTTAACAACAATAAATAATTGAATCTCTTTTAGTTAAATATTAATTATTTATTTGTGAAAATACATGTACCGAAGAGAATTACCGTCTACTTTACTATCCTCAAATTATCTAATCTTTTGACTTCACCATCCCTTTTTTTGTCTCATTATCATTACCCAAACTATACTTATCAAATCACTTATAATTTTGTCTTTGTCACTAAATGTTACGATTTAGTGGTATTCCTCTTCATTTGTAAGTGTGTTTGGGCCCAAAATATTATTTTGAGCCGAGCCTAGGATTATTCTCGCCCTATGGCGTTTATCTAGAATTTTCTTGTGGGTCATCCAGTTAGGGCTGGCTAAATCTTGTTGCGAAGGGCATTGGTTTAGATAAAGGGTGAAGTAGACGATTCGTAGTGAAACAAGGAGTTTTGAAGCCGAAGGTGCTTGGGATCAGAAGATGAATCTGATTTGTTATGGGGTTTGGTTCAAAGTCCTATTAGAGCTAGGACTGGCCAAAACCTAATCAGAATGGGTTGTGGAGTTCTAATCCAAGTACGATTCTAGCTCGGCCATGAAGGGGTTTGCTACTATAAATACAGGAGGGGTGCATTGTTCAAAGTCTCTCCAATTCAACACATAAATTGCCCCACGCAAAGCTTCTCAACAACCTGAGATTTTATCCTTCTCCCCTTTCTTCCACCAACACATTTTCAGTTTGGATAAACAGCACTGTGAAGGTAACCAATGACATCTTCAGTTTGGATAAACAGCACTAGAGCCGTAGAATCATCCGATCAAGGAGCACCTTCAGTTTGGATAAGCAACACTGCTTCGAGACCGACTGGTTATTTATCCAAGTCTCGGTCGAGAGGGACTTTCGAGTTCTTGTTAGTAAAGGTCATCTCATCAACCTTCTCGACGAAGTGAGGTGCTACAGGTTTCTAGGCTCGGCATATTGAACACTGAGTTGTTTTATGATTGGATATTAGCAAGTGAATTTCAGAGTTCGGCATTCCGACGACCAAACCACATTTACTATCAAGACATACATCTCTTTCAAGTACTTATGTCCATATAGCATGGTGCCAGTTCAACGTGCTTATACTCTTACCAAGATAATCACTATGACCAAACCCCGCGTCGACGATTTGTGAACTTCACAAAACTAGCAGCCTTCCTCGACTGCAATCGCAGGATCAAAAAGTCAACAACGCGCTCAACGCAACATCAACACATTTTACTCCCTGGTCGAGCTCGGTCGTCGAGTTGGTACGCCCCGCACATAATCGAAAGACGTAGTTAGCTTACTAATTACTCAGTATGCGCGCCACGTAAGCTTGGTATCTTTTAGGGTCAACATTTTGGCATGCCTAGTAGGACCTAATGCTAAAGCTACGAAGTTCATGACCATTGAGACACGGTGAGTAAAGAAGAAAACAGTAATGGGTAAGTCAACGACTAATCTTCCAGTCCAAAACCCATGACAAGATGACTTACCACAGGCACAAAATCTTTCTACTGCCGCGACACCTGAAGCTACAAGTGCGACACGCCGAGATAAGGAAGTAAATCTCGGCAGTCAACCTCGTGATACAAAAATCCCCACCAAAACGACAAAAGGAATTTTTGTTGAAGGATTAGTGAAGGATTGTGACGAGGACGGTGGTGAGGCCTTTGATCCACTGACTAGGTCATTACTTAGATGACGACTTGAAGAGCAATCTTGGCAATTTGAGCAAATGTTCAGTCAAAAGGTGAAAAGCATACTCAAAGAGATGCGCGATAATAGCGCTATACATAACAGGTTGCTCGAAGTAGTAGTTAATAAAGCCCACGAAGGAGGGCCTTCTAATCGTTTCAGGGAGCCTCCATTTAAGAACAATCCCCTTCCAATGGTACAAGCCTAGACAGGATCTGCTTAGCTCAAAATGATCGATTTAGAAAAGAGAGGTGGGTCAAGCAGTAGATCGAATGAATTTAACTAAGAAGCAAAAACGACATCTATTAATATGGTCGAGGTTCAAAAAGTGATTAATTTGACTCTAAAAAGGGGCCGAAGTTTCCGAAATTCATTCGAGTACCCCAAGGGATTCAAAATTTCGGACTTCAGCTTTTTCACTGAAGAGTCAACCCTATCGTTGTTAGAACACGTGACTCAACTCACTGCCCAATGTGGGGACGTTAACAGTTATTTTCATAAGCTTCGACTGTTCAACTTCTCGTTAACCGGCTCAGCATTAGCATGGTATATAAACCTTTCGCCCAATTCCATCCAAATGTGGGATGAAATAGTAAAGAAATTTCATGAGTAATTATATCGACCAAGGATGGAAGTGTCAGTATCTTCTCTAGCCAAGATGGCTCAAGCTTCTGACGAGTCGCCAATGGAATACCTTACAAGGTTTAAGTTAGCCAGAAACTAGTGTCAAGCACCTCTCCCGGAAGTCGAGTTTGTTAGGCTTGAACTAAACGGCCTGGATGTGGAATACAAAAAGAAATTCTTAGGGGTAAACTTCCGAGATATGTACGAACTGGCTCAATATGTCGAGCAATATGATTATTTGCTCCAAGAAGAAAAGATATCGAAGTCCCCATCTTGAGGAACAATCTACAAGAACCCTACGGTCAGTTATGCATCAACCGAAGGCGAAGAATCCCAATATGCCAGTATTGACGTGGTCAACAAGCCATACATATGTAAAGCATTGGCTCATGTTAAGTCTAAGGATGTCAAAACCCGATCAGCATTTGAAGAAGCTACCATCAAAACCTTAAAAGTTTATACTTTTGACATCACCAAGGCTAATGCTATCTTCGACTAGTTGTTGCTCGCGAAAATTGTCAAGCTTCGGCCAGGGGATAACATTCCTAAGGCTGATGAATTAAAAGGCACCACAATTCGAACAAGCATACGACAAATAATTGTTTCGTATTTCGTGATGCCATTCAAAGCTGGATCGACAATGGTAAGCTCAAGTTTCAAGAGAAACAAACATGGTATATGCTTATCTACCAAGGGATAAAGGAAAAGGAAAGGTCGAGTTCATTCCAATGTAATTCGTCCCAAAGTATTGTTGAGTCAATGTCGGACTCCAATATAGAGGAAAATTACAGGCCGATGGTTTTATGTAGTCAATGCAAATAGAGCGTCGTCTTAGCTGAGCCAAAGGAAAAGCCACGTAGGGCTGAAATACCACAACAAGTGCCTACAGCCGCGGTAACATCCCAAAAGGTGTTCGGTACAGGCCAACGTTATAAAGTTTTTGATAGGCTTGGCCCTCAAGTACAAGATAACAAACCATCTTCGCTCAAATGAGGATTATTATGCGCACAACTCTGGCAATCTTAATTCACCTGTAAACTAGCGCACCTTTAGACCTCATGAGCCACGTGATTAGCGCTGGTATACCTACAACTCCCTTACTGGTATATATACAGCATTGTCTAAATCACAGAAACGTTGACGCCAAAGAATGAACTGTATAGCCCGCCGACAAGCAGCTCAGAATACCTCGGCTGCCAAATGGTAGCTGAAGGAAACAGCCGGTAATGAAAATGATCGACAACCTCCGACGATTATGACCAAGCTGCTCCAAGGGAAGAAGGTGATCGATCATGACTTTGAAACCACGATTGAAGAATTCGAAAAGCGAATGAAACTCTTTCTTCGACCTAGGGAAATAAAAGCTATCCTCAAGCACTTCCAGAAGGAAACCGAGAGCAAACTTCCTCTGCTACCTACATAAGAATCGTTGATTAGAGTCAGACGGAATCTCCACCCACTGTTTCTCGGTGAAGCTTTAGAATACATGCGGGAGTTTCACAAGAAGCATTCGGCAAATGACTTATACGGCCTGCCAAAAGCATGCCAAGATACTCCAAAAGACCTCGGATCTAGAGATAAAAGCCAGATTCCATCATATACGTGAGGTTCGAGTTCTTGACTTTGAGGTAGATCCATATATGGATATTAACGCTTTCGAATTTCCCTTCTTCCTCGATGACCTCTAATATCTACAATACCATTTCGAAGTCTTTTCAGCTGTTTCCCTCTTTGGCCTTACAAAAGATGAAAATGAATGCGTAGCACGATTAGATGCTTACCTTGACACGAGAGATGTCTGCATCGTATATTAAGAGCAAACTCGTATAACATCACATGACCAAAACCCAGTTCCAACACTGAGCGAACCCGAGGTTGATGTGAAAAATGAGAAGGCTCCAATAGACATACCTCAGGAACATACCCTGGCGCCAGCCAAAGAAGATCAAGCGAATACTACCCACACACAAGATACCTTGCCCAAAAGTCCAAAAGAAGAAGATCGTGACCCAATGGGTCATTCGGTCATCGACAACATGGAAATTAACATGGTCCATGTTTTACCTGCCGAGTTCCAGTCAACTACACCTTAACCAAATTTCCTGGACGACGACGTGGTTGCTGAGGAAGCCACGTAAGTCGATTTTGTGGTCGCCAAAGAGATTGAGCTGGCAACAAAAGAAGATAAACTTAAAGCAACTCTGGGCGAACTATTTCCTCATTCTTCATCAGTTAATCTCCATTATTTAAAGTCGTTATATGTTATGGCTCATATTGAAGGATATCTGGTCTCCAAAATTTTCATCAATTGTGGAGCAATGGTTAACATCATGCCCGTTGCTATCATGAAGGCATTACATAGTTCCAACGATGAACTTATTCCATCAGGGATCACCATAAGCAGTTTTGTCGGTGACAAATCCTAGACCAAGGGAGTGCTTCCATTGGAAGTAAATATCACAGGTCGTAATCATATGACCACATTTTTC